TTCAGGTGGCAGCAGTTTCATTGTTGTCAGAAACTTCATGGCTTCCAGAATGTCACCTCCTTGCTGTGTCCAGGATGGGGTTTCTAGGGGCTGACAAGCTAAGTCAAGCTTAGTGGCATAAGTGCCTGCCTTGCAAGTGTGTGGTCATGAGTTTGATCCCCAGTACCGATAAAAAAGAAAAAGACAAAAAACAAAACAAAACAAAACCCAGAATGGGGCCTCCTCTGGACACATAAATCTTGCCTGTCTCTCTGTGGTGTGTCCAAATGTTTTCTTCTTGTAATTATGACAGACACTAGATTATGGCTACATTTGCAGCCATGATTGGACTAAATCATCTATTAAAGTTGTTGTTTCCATGTGTAGTCCAGTTTGAACACAAATAATCCCACAACATCTCCCTGCCTTTTCTTACTTAGTGTCAGTTTTTTCACCCATTTCCTAAGGAAAATACAGGATTAATTTTTGTCTTCTCTCTCATCAAGGCTTCCTTAATGTGGGATAAACTTTGGCTCTTTAATCATTATAAATGTAAAACTTTAGAATGACAAGGCACATAAAATCAAAGATGTATATATCAGAGTGTGTATTCTATGTTACATACATTGCTTTCAGAATCCTTTCTGGGACCATTTCCCTGGTGTAAACAGTGATGTTACTTCTCTAGAAGTTTCCATTTGGAGAATGGCTCACTGTCCCATAGGAAGAGTTTTTAGCTCCATTTCCTTTCTTTCTTCTTTCTTTCCAGGGCAAACTTAGGTAAATTAGATAAATTTATGTATGTGTACAACCTACCAAGATTGGCATCACAAAGAATTAGAAAGTTGAAGAAACCAAGGACAAATAATGAGATGTTGGTAATAATAAAATTCTGACATCTAAGAAAGCCCCAATTCTGGAAATTAAGATCAGTTGTGTGGTTTTTTTTCCATATACTGCCAAAGTACAACACCATGGAAAAATTGGTCACTGCTTCTTTCAAGTGGACTAATCATTGATTCTTTAATTCTCATACGTCTAAAGTGCAAAGCCATATACTGATCAAGGAGTTGTATATCAAAGCATATATTTGAATATTACTTTTGCTATTTTTCAATTCCTGTATGGGAATATCTCCAATGTCCTTGTGTCATCATTGGTGCTGCTTCCCAGGACTTGCAGGTTGGCAAATTGCTCCCTGTTCCATGGGACATAGTTTTAGCTCTATCTCACTTCTTTTTTTTTCTTTCTTCCCTTCTCAGAGCAAACTTAGACAAAGTAAATAAATTTATGTATGCATACAGCCTACCAAGATTGCATCACAAAAATTAGGTACCTGAAAAGACCAATAACAAGTAAGAGATTGAGTTAGTAATAAAAATCTGTATCAAAGAAAGACCCATGTCCAGAAAGTGTCACTGATGAATTTTTCTTAAGCTTTTAACAATGAGCTAATATCTATTTTTCCAAAACTGTTCCAAAGTGGGAAGGGGAAGATTCTTCCACATACATTGTAAATTGCCACTATTATACTACTTCAAACATAGAGAAGGACACTGAAAAAGAAACAAAAACCAAAAAAAAAAAAATCAACATTCCTAAAGCAAGTTGATGTAAGTATCTCAGAATTTAGCAACTTTAATAAAATACCACCAAGAGGGAATTGTATGCAATGATCATAAAATAGTTTTCATGTGAGAATTGTGGAACATAGATCAGCAGACATACTGTGTCACATTAACACAAGGAAGCACACAACATGATCACCTCATTATATTTAGGAAAAAAAGCATTCTTGATGTTTTCATTTTTTCACTTCGTGTTGGTTTATTGTGTTTCACTGTTATGCATCTGTGGAGAAGCAGTGCTGAACCAGAAGTAGTTGAGGTACCCTGAGAGACATCAGCCATGCCTATTCTGATACTGTTAGTTTTCTGGTTCTTAATACATAAGAAGTTTCCTGCTTACTCATATTTCTCTACTCACACCAGAAAACTCTGACTTGCTTATCCTTACCCAGTGCAGAATTGTACTTTCAGGAAGATGACAGTGTTAAGCAACAATAAGTCTGTCTCTCAACAATTTGTAGTCGAAATGTGAATGTATAGAATCTTGGGGCAAAGAAGAAGGTGGGGAGCAAATTCTGAAGCAAATTCTGAGCAAATCCTGAAGAGTGAATTAGACTCCACAGGAAGAGTGAAGCGACAGACCTTGAGACAAACTGATTTCTTCCTGACTCTCGACTCTTGAGCCAACTCTACATTCTCCCTCACACCTGGCCCTTTGCAGGAGAGAGAAGACTCTAGCCAACAGAAGTGATGTGACACTGAGGAAACCTGGAGGCCACTAGCGAGAAAAGTGGAGCAGAGCCCTGGATCAAGTGGGCTGCAGCAACTGGTGAGTGACTGCATGCCAAATGTCCCAAGCACAGTGTGATTGACTCAGTGCCATTTTGAGTTGGGGATAACTGACTCTGGGATGTGGAGCATCTGTGTGTTGGCCCCACCTCTGGGATGCCAGTGTCTGTATGAGGCACAACCCTGAGAGAAATTCAGCGTCAGTGAGCCAACATGGAGCCAGAAAAAAATACCCACAGTGTTGTGGGATGAACAACTCTGATCACATGCCGAAACCAGAGATCATGATGAGCCTGAACGCCTGCAGAACTGGACTGATATCCCACACTTTTCCTCCTGCGGCCCTGTTGGGATTACATAGCAACCCACTCTAATCCTACTACAGGCTTGCTCAGATCATAAAATATGGTTCTGGAGTTTGTTTGCTGACTTTATCTGCCACTTATAGCAGAGACATACTGTGAAATAGACACACAAAACTGTAGCCTCAAGAAGATAATCAAAGTTTTGAAATCATGGAGAAATTTCTCTCTTTCTCTCTGATTATTGATATTATTTCTTATGGTGTATTCTTGGGTTTTGTACATTAGTAACTGCATTGGTTTTGGTAGAGGGCAAAATCAGTATATCAAGGGGATATTTAATGTATATGAATTTCTGCACTGCTTTACATTTTGTTATATAACTATAAACTTTGCTTATGGTTAAGGTGGCAAATTATTATTTTCTAGGTTACACTGGATTCTGTTGTTACTACTGATTGTACTGCTATAACCAAGGTGACACAGATATTCTAATCAGTTGTTTTTACTTGTATTCCAAGACTGAGATTGTCTTAGTCTCAAAAAATACTATATGCCAACACCAATGAACTAGAGGACAAATAGGCTTAACATCTCTAACACATTGACAAGGTAGAATATGGCAACAGACTCAGAAGCAAAAATCAAGCTACGCCTTGATTTTGCTTTTGAAAATTTGGCACTTCCTTGATATGGTAATAAAACTACCTACCATAAGTAATTTACAAACATAAGTACCAATAATAAATTTTTAAAAAACAAAAAATAAGAAGACAAGTAAGTAAGATGTTAACCCAGACCTTCCTTTTGCCTAAGCAAATGCAGGAGGCAGTGACATGGAGCAAATCAAAAACTCATGACCTGAACTTTCTGAAATGGTAACAGTAGAAATAACAAAACAGATGAATGTGGCTCTAGGAAGAAAAAAATCAGAAATACTTTTACAGATACAGAAAAGATGACCATAATGAAAGATACATTTAATGAATCTAGAGTCACTATAGATAAATAAAAGTAGAGGAGTTTAAGAAAAAGATGGAACCCATGAATGTGATACACAGGAAAGAAATAGAGTCAAGAAACACATTCAAAAAGATATTCAGGAATTTAAATTCATTTTGAAAGTATGTGCAGCAGAATGAATGTGAGGCACAATATCAGATTTAGAAGCCAGGCTTGCTGTTACTTATGAAACAAAACACTTCTTGAAAATAGGAAAGGCCATGGCAATCAACCTAACAACTGCTAAATAATGAAAAGAATACAATATAATTGACCAGAATTAATGAAAAATCAGCAGTTAGTGCAAAGACATAAAAATCCTATTCACAGAAGCAATGGCAGAAAACTTTCACATACAGCTAAGTGAGACATATAGAACTTCAATTAGCCTTGTACAAAACAAAATCAACACCAAAATGTAAAATAGTCAAGGTTTCACAAATTCAACACAGGAATGCAACATTAAATGTTGTTAGACAAAAAATCCCCTATAAAAGAAAACTTTTTAAATCACAGCAGAACATCTCAGCACAAACCTTTACATCAAGGAGAGACTGGAAGATATTGAAGCCTTAAAAGAAAACAACCTGCAACCCACATTGTTCTACCCAAAAAATAATATTTCAAAATTGATGGAGAAATAAGCTACTTCCATGAAAAAGAATTCCTGAGGAACTTTATGATCACCAAATCAGTACTCTGAAATATTCTAAAGGATATTTTAGAAGGAGATACTAAAGACTATGATTTCATGACTTGAAATAGAATGGATCCACCAGGGAAGGCTTGCAGTTTAACTAGCAGAACGAAAGGTAACCAATAAGAGGAAACTAACATGAGAAAGGAAGTCAACGCCTATTGGTAATGCCCACCACTGTTAATGGTCTCAACTCACCAGTCAAGAGAGACAGATTGGCAGAATGGGTCAAGAAACAAGATCTAACAATAGATGGCATATAAAAAGGAAGTTTACCTCAAAGTCTTCATAGACTACAAGTCAAAATATTGAAAACAATAGTCCATGTGACAGGAACCTCCCCAAAAGAATGGGTAGCTACTATGTTTACAAATGAAATGGATCTCAGTCAAAACTCCAAGGGAGCCAAAGAAGAGCCATGGCTTGAGCAAGCAGCAAGCAACCCAGGGAGAGAACCAGCCAGCCAGCATCTCCCAAGATCTGTGCCATGTTGGAACTTAGGGTGCTGGGTAACAAAGCAACACACTCGCCTCCTTGGTAAGCAGCCATGGCTCGAGCGAGCTGCAGGTGATCCAGGGAGAGAACCAGCCAGGCAGCATCTCCAGAGATCTGCACCATGTTGGAACTTAGGGCGCTGGGTAACAAAGCAACCTGCTCGCCTCCATGGTAGGCTTCCGAGAGCCTACCCGCACATGGGCTGGTAATCAAACATCCCTCCACCTCCCCATTAACAAATGGGAGTCAGAGGTCTCAGCATCTCTTGGGAGGGTCAATGTATGCAATATAGCAAATATGGGGGATATCCTTCTACCATCTCTTTGAAGGCAAATATTGTGATCACTGTTTTGCTTTGTTTTGATTAATTATATCGTTCTATTCAAGACTCTGTTTAGATAGGTTTTATGATGTTCTGTATTTGTTTTGATTTGCTATACCTCATTGAAAGGACAACTATTGTGAAGATAACAAGATATACTGTGGTACCTACTACTGTTATCCCAGTAACCTGCTGTGAAGTTTGTACCAATTTCACTGCATTGTCTCAATTGGCTTTATTCTGCCTTGTTATGTTGTATTTTACTACCTTCAAAATAGTAAAAAAAAAAAAAGAGAAAGAGAGAGGCAAAGAAGGTCAATACATATTTGTTAAGAGAACAATTCAGTAAGGAGTGATAACAATCATTAAAAATATATGCAACGAACACTAGTGTACCCAACTATATAAAACAAACATTAAAACACATAGACATCAGTACAGTTGTAATGGGGAAACTCTGTACCTCACTGTCACAAATAAATACATCAACTTGACAAGAAATCAAAAAATTATCAGAATTTAACTAAACCTGTAAACAAATGGATGTTGGGAGACATCTAGAATGTTCTACACAGCAACATTGGAGTTTCTTAAAACTACACATGATACCTTCTTCAGTAGAGACTAGCTACTAGTTCATTGAGCATCCTTAAGCAAATGCAAAGCAATTGAAATTATGTAATGCATATTATAGACCATAGTGCAATATAATTGAACATCAATACCAAAATAAGCTGGAAAGCTTCATAAATACATGGAAATTAAATGACATCTTCCTGAACAACAAATAGATCACAGATAAAAATGAAAGAAAAAAATGCTACTATGCTACTATTATATGCTCAAAGCTAATGGGATGTAATGAAAGCAAACCAGAGGGAAATTTATGGTGGTGAATTCCTATATCAGAAAAACAGAACAACCCCAAATAAGCAATTTTGAATATCCAGCTTTTGAAAAAATCAGAGTAAGTCAAGCTCAAAGTGCATACGAGGGATAAAATTATAAGAATTAGAGAATTAATGCAATGAAGATGAAGGAATAATAAAAGAATCGATAAATTGAAGGCTCTAGTTGAAAGATTAAATAAAATTGACACACTGTTAGCCAAACTTATGAGCAAAGGAGGGAAAAGACACAATTTCATGCAATTAGGAATGAAAATGGTGAAATCATGATAGATACCACCAAAATTCAGAATATCATTGATGCCTGCTTTATGAAACTGTATGCTATTGAGATGGAAAATACAGAAGAAATGGACAGATCCCTTGATACATATGAATTATACAAGCTAAAACAAGAATGTGCATAAATTTTAATAACCCAGTTCAGTCAATAAATTGTCCGTGCAATTAAAACCTACCAACTAAGAAATGCTTGGGCTCTGATGGATTCACTGCTGAATCCTATGAGAAGCTGAGAGCTCTCATGGCACTACTCCTCAAACTCTTTAATGGAATTGAAAGGGAAGTACTACTCGGACACTTATTCCTGGAAAAAAACAATACCCTGATACTAAAATCAAAGAACTACAAGTCAATCTCCTTTATGAACATAGTGCAAAAATCCTCAGTAGGATGCCAGCAAACAGAATGCAGCCAATCATCAAGAAACGTATATAACATGAACAAGTAGGATTCATCGCAGGGATATAGGGATTGTTCTACATATGAAAATCAATAAATGTGGTAAGTCATATTAACAAAACTAAGTACAGAACCCATACAATATACTGAACAGATGCATAAAAAGTATTTGAGAAACTTCAACACCCATTTGAAATAAAAACCCTACAGAAATTGGAGTAGATGGTCTTTATCTCAATCTGATAAAGGTCACTGACGACAAATCAACAGCCAACATCATACTAAAACAGTCAAAAACTGAAATTTTTCATTCCAAAACCAGGACTAAGACAAACAGGCCCACTATCATCACTCTTCTTCAATATTGTCCTATAAATATTAGCCATAGCATTTAGATAAGAGAAAGAAATAAGAGGGATAGGAAACTCAGAAGTTAAATTATCATTATTTGAAGATGACGTGATACTCTTCATAGAACACCTCCAAAATACCAAAAGACTTCTAAATCTAAAAAATAACTTCAATTTCACAGTGGATACAAAGTCAACATCTTAAAATCAATAGCACTGTTGTGCACAAAAAATCTCAGCAGGAATAAATAAGGAAAATCATATCTTTGTCAGTTGAGAGTGAGAGAGAGAGAGAGAGGATTCAATCTAAGGAAGGAAATAATCTTTACAACAAAAACTACACTGCTCTGAAAAATGAGATTGTTGTGGCTTTTGTGTAGATGTTCAAATAAAGCTTCATACAGGGATAGGTGGCATTTCTCGTAGGTGACTGGATTTACAGCATGTGACCCTTCGATTGATTCACACTGATATGCTACGACTAAAGGTTCTAGGATTATGGGTATGAGTGCTATGTACCATGGATAAGATATAAGTGAGAGAAAGAGGCATGTCTTATCCATTTCTGGCTGTTTTGGAATTCTTGTGTCTGTCATGAACAGTCTTTCCTCTCTGATGCCTTTTTACCATGCCACCTTGCCTTGAAGGCAGCTGTTTATGAACAGAAATCTTTTCAAAGTGTGAGCAGAAATAAACCTTTCCTTTTCATCTTTGGGTGTCAAGTATTTCATTTTAACAATGAAAAAAGTAACTAAGACAGAGATCACATTTATGTCAGAAGGTGGCGACGTATCCTTAATTCTTCAATAGAATTGAGGAACATAGTCAAAATGGCCAGATTTTCAAAATGTTATACAGATGTAATACAATTCCAATCAAAATACAGTAACATACCGAACAAAATTAGAGACATTAATCCTAAAATTTACTTGCTACTAGAGGACACATAGAATAGCAAAAGCAAATTTGGACAACAAAGGCAAAGCTGGGGACATCACAATCCCTAACTTGAAATTATACTACAAAACCATTGTGACTAAAAAAACAAGCAAGAAAGCAAATAAACCACTACCAGCAACAAAAACAAACAACCAAATCCCTGCATGGTACTCTTAAAAACAACAACAATGAAACCAAATCAAAACAAAACAAAACTAGACACAAAGATCAATGAAACAGATTAGAAGATGCAGAAAGAACTCCAAACACACTCAGCTACCTTATTTTTGACAAAGGTTCCAAATGTCTGTACTATGAAAAGATACTGTTTGTTATAAATGGTATTAGAAAAACTGACTCCACATGCAGAAGATTAAACCTAGACCCATATCTCTTACCATGCACTTAACTAAAATTGAAATGGATCAAAAATCTAAGTATTAGAAAAGAAACATTAAATCTTTATGGAAAATGGAATAGGTATGACTCTTGAAGATATATGTGTGGCCAAAGAATTAATGAACAAAAGCCAGTTGCACAGGAAATATCAATCACTGGAGTCTCATTTTATTCGCAAGATTTTCCCCTGCAGAAGTAACCATCAACAAAGCACAGAGATAAACCAAGGGTAGGAAAAAATTTTTGTCAGCTGCTCCTCAGGTAAAGGAGCAACATCTAGAATATACAAAGAACTAAAAAATCAGACTTCCAAAATTTCAAGACTCAGTTTATAAGTGGATATCCCAAGTGAGTAGACACTTCTCTCATGAAGAAATACAAACATCAAATAAATACATGGAGAAGTGTTCAACATCTCTGGTCATTTGAGAGATGCAAATTGTAACAATTCTGAGATTCTATCCCACTCCGGAAAGAACAGGTATTATTAAGAAATCAATGACAAGTGCTGGTACGAATGTGAGGGAAAACGAAATCTTCACCACTGTTGGTGGGAGTGTAGACTGATGCAATCATTGGGAAATCAGTTTGGAGATTCTCCAAAATATTAAAATTAGACATTCCAATTGACCTAGCAATTCTCCTCGGTATCCTCCTGAAGAAATTAAAAGTATCATGTCTCAGGAATTGTAGCAAAACAATTTGAAATAGCTAAATCTTGGACACAGGTCAAATGTTCATCAACCAATAAAGAAATGTGGTGTTTTTTTTTTAAAAATTGAATGGTGGACTGCTCTACAATAGAGAAGAATATACTTGAGACATTTGTATATAAATGGATGAACCTTGAGAGTATATCCTTAAATGAAATAAATGAAACATTTATGTTTGATTATCAGATTGTCTCTTTGGTATGAAAGAGTAAAATATATAGTAGGCAATGGGAAACAGGAAGAAAATATTCAAATCAGAAGCGGAACTAGAAAGAGGGAGGGGGAAAAAAGAAAGGGAAAAAAGAGTAAATAAAATTAAAGGAAATAAGGAGGGACGGGAAAGGTTGGGTAAGAAATAAGAATCAAGTAATATTCTTTACAAATACAAATTCCTTTGATGAATGTGACTGCTATGTGTATCTAAAATGTACCAATTAAATTAGATAATAAAATATATATAATTTTGAGATTCTTTCAAAACTAAGCTACTTAAATTGATGAATAGTTTTCAAATGTTTTCATTTTCTGATCTCTATGAATTTCAGTCTGTTTTTTAATGTAAAAGTTAAGATAATTTCATATGTTAAGAAATTTTACTTATAAATCTTTCTGTTAGTGGACTTCAATCTACTGTTGTTCTTCATCAGTGAGTTTTCATGTCTCTATATAATAAAAGATAATTATGCCAAATTTATAGGCGACAGTATATTGAATTTTGAAAAGATAAAGTAGTTTCTTCTAAGTTCAGTAGAAACACAAAAATGTCTACATAGATTAAATGAGAGAGCATAGAAAAATCCAGAAGTAAACCCATGTTGTGGTTTTTGACAGAAGTACCAAAACAAACAAACAAGCAAACAAACAAAAAATGAGAGAAAAGAAAGTCTCTGCAGTAAATGATGCAGAGATAAGTGAGGAAAAGAGGCTTGTTTTGTCCCCACTTTTTGTTCTGGCCGCTTTC